CCGGCCCATTTCCCACTATCCTGCACCCGGGTTGCATCCCCAGGGTCCGATCAGACGAACCCGTGTGAATGGCCAGCAGCTTCCCGTTTTGCCAGGGAACTCTCTCCTGGTGGGAGGCCAGCTGCCTGGCACAACACGTGGCTAACGACCTCCCACCAAACCCATGCCAGGAGCTCCTCCCCAGGCCACGTGTCCCTGTGCATTGAGAATCACTCATTGCACAAGCGTCGCCGCGCCACGGGCTCACCTATCCCTTGCCAGCGACTCCAAGCCAGGCCTGCAGAGCCAATATCCAACCCTGGCACTTGAGGCAGAGGCCTCCAGCCCCAAGGCATCTGGATAATAGGCCCAAAATGAGCAAAGCCCATGGGTGCGTTTGCTCACAACAGACCAGGCAGGAGCCGCCTCTGCACCAGCTTGATGCTCGGCTAGACTGAAGGTGTCAGTACCGGCAATGTTATGTCCCTGCCCGAGACCAGGTAATTCCCCTGCCCTTCAAGTGCCTTCCTCTGTTCCTGTGGGGTTTCCTTCTACTTCTGGGGCAGAGCAAAGTCCTCCCAGGCTTGGTGATCCATCGCCTCCCTGCTTTCTCTCCGGGCCGTGCCAGCTCCACTGCCAAGCTCAGGCTCTCAGGTCCCCGGGGCATGCAGCCACTCACCCTTCAGAGACAAGCCTCGTGCTTTCACACGGTGCATTTACGGGCGCAGGAAGAATGAGGCCGGCAAGCACAGGGAGGCCGGGCTGCAAGAGACTCCCCGCTCCGAGCTCGCCTGGCGTCACTCGGCCCTGGGAACAAAGCACTCTTTGCTGCAGCATCGCCGCCTAGGCTCGCACTGGTACGGCCGGCGGGGAGCCCTGCCAGATCCCCCTCGGCCCAGAAAACCCTCCAGATGAAGCAGAGAGGCTCCTTCCAGCTCGCACTCGAAGGGGAGCTGGGCTCTCACCTCCCCATGACACAGAGCAAGGCGGCTGGACGGGAGACTCCCACGCCAGCACCGCGGGGCTGGACAAAGCAGGAGGGATGAGACGGGAGGGGACCACGCACCGTGGCGGGGCGTCGGGAGCTCCAGCAACCGGCGCCCATTGCTGAGCTGCAGGACTCCGATCCTAGGGCCCAGTCCCTCCCGCGATCCCACAGACCCCGCTGCAGGTTGTTGTGGGGAGACTCTCCCCCCTGCCAGGAGCCCAAGGCGGAAGGACAGCCCGTGGCAGGAGACACAGCCGCACCATGCCCCCCGGTTCGGAGCACAGCACGAGGCCTTTTGGGGGGAGCAATGCATGCAGAGCCACGTCTGTGGCACAACAGTCACCGAGGTGCCTCATTCACACCGCGGGCACAGGGGTGACACCGG